GCCGCCCCCCTCCGTGCGAGCTTCCTCGTGCCTTTTATGCACAGTAGAACCCATATCCAATACGCCTTCCTGCCGCCCACACCCCGTCATACCGCAGTGCCTTTTTATACTAATGAGAAGAGAAAGTTATTATGGAAAAGCCAATTACTTCTGTCGGAGCGGCCAGTGACTGGGTGACCTCTCACAGCAAAACTGCCGCGAGCCCATCCATCTTCGTGCTTCGGAGCTCAGCCCGGGACTGTGCTCTGCCCATGAATGTGGGCAGCTGACTGCCTCTTTTGTCCAGTCCGCAGTCTGCGGAGACCGCAGGGGAATTGAGTGATCCTGGTCTTGGTTAGCGACCTGCAGGGACCGGCCCCTCCTGTAGGGGCAAGAAGCTCTCTAGAACAGCGGTTCTCAACCTGTGGGTCGCGACGCCTTGGGGGTTGAACGACCCTTTCACAGGGGTCGCCTAAGACCATCGGAAAACACACATATAATTACATATTGTTTTGTGATTCATCACTATGCTTTCATTATGTTCAATTTGTAACAACGAAATTGGGGGTCACCACAACATGAGGAACTGTATTAAAGGGTCGCGGCATTAGGAAGGTTGAGAACCACTGCTCTAGAAGGTACGGGAAGTCACCGGCTCCAATGGATACGAGTGAATGGAAGCAGCAAGGGACAGAGAGAGACAGCATGGACTCTGGAACCAGACCCAGGAGCTGGGTGACCTTGAGCAAGGTGAAGGCGGGTCGTTTCACCCAACTCACAGGGTTGCTGTGAAGATTTAGTTCCACAGCCATCCCAGGGCCCTCCAAAAACCAGGGCCCCCCCAAACACCTACTAAATCTGAACTAGCCAGGATTTGGGGAGAGGGAGTATTAGTTAGGGTTCTCCAGAGAAACAGAACCAACAGGATGTATGTGTGTATATCGGTATACCTATATCTCTATATCTGTATCTATATCTGTATCTACATCTACATCTATATCTACATAGAGAGAAAGAGAGAGAGACAGAGAGAGATTTATGTTGAGAAATCGGCTCTTGCAATTTGAGCGGTTCAGTAAGTCCAATTCTGCAGGGTGGGCCAATAGTTGAAGCCCAAGATTGTCTGCTGCAGAATTCCTTCTTGCCTGGGGGGTGGGGGTGGAGCATCCGTCTTTGTTCTACTGGGGCCTTCGACTGATTAGGTGAGGCCCACCCACATAGAGAGGGCAATCTGCTTTATTCAAAGTCCCCCAGCGACACCCACACAGCAGCACCTAGAACAGTGATGGTGAACCTTTTGAGCTCGGCGTGTCAGCGTTTTGAAAAACCCTAACTTAACTCTGGTGCTGTGTCACATATAGAAATTTTTTGATATTTGCAACCATAGTAAAACAAAGATTTATATTTTTGATATTTATTTTATATATTTAAATGCCATTTAACAAAGAAAAATCAACCAAAAAAATGAGTTCGCGTGTCACCTCTGACACGCGTGTCATAGGTTCTCCATCACTGCCCTAGAATGATGTCTGACCGCGTGTCTGAGCCCTGGCGCCCAACCAAGTGGACGCAGAAAATTAACCATGACGGAGGACAGGCATTCAGGAATCTGGATTTTTAATCACCTCTCCAGACTCGGGTGTGAGGAGCAGCCAAGTGCGGGGCCCACTCTCAGTGAGGCACCCTGAGGTCACGGACAGTTTCGGGGTTCCTGCCCCCACAGCCATGAGGGCCACCAGACTTCTTCCGGTGCCAGCCCCACATTGAGCTCACGACCAATCTTCCATCCTGTCATGGGTCAATGAGACGCTCCTTCCGCACACAGCTGGGTCACAGCGGGCTGGGAGGCTCCTCAAGCCCAGCTCCTCCTGGCGGCCGCCATGGCGTCGGCAGCTGCCTGCACCCGGGGACTGCCAGCCTCTGTGGCTTGAAGCCCCTCTCCCTTTCCTCTTTTTTTTTAAAATAATATATTTTTATTGTGTCCTTCTTTTTTTTTTTTTTTTTTTTTTTGGTTAATCCTCACCCAAGAATATTTTTCCATTGATTTTTAGGGAGCGTGGAAGAGAGAGGGAAAGATGGAGAGAAACATCGACGTGAGAGAAACACATCAATGGGCTGCCTCCTGCAGGAGGCCCGATCAGCACCTAGGCCAGGGAGGAGCCTGCAACCAAGGTATGTACCCTTGGCCGGAATCGAACCCAGGACCTTTTGGTCCCCAGGGCAACGCTCTATTCACTGAGCCAAGCTGACCAGGACTCCCTTTCCTCTTAAGAATTGCCAGCACATCCACCAACCAGCGAAGTCACCTCACTTCCCTGAGCGTGTCTCCCCCCCTTGGCCACCTCTGAGAAGCACATAGGAAGTGTTTTCAAAATGCAGACAACTGGACCCGCCCTGTCCCCACGCTCTTGGCCCTGTAATACTGTAGTGCTTCCCACTGGGACCCTGGGCTTAGCCATGTGACTCACTTTGGCAGATCGGTCACTGGTAAGTTCGATGGAAACTGGAGCTTGAAAAAGTGTCCAAGCGACAAGCTCCCGGCCGGCATGGCTCAGTGGCTGAGCATCGACCAATGAACCAGGAGGTCACAGTTCAAGTCCGGTCAGGGCACGTGCCCAGGTTGGGGGCTCGATCCCCACTGTGGGGCGTGCAGGAAGCAGCCGATCCATGATTCTCTCTCCTCATTGATGTTTCTCTCTCTCTCTCCCTCTCCCTTCCCCTCTGAAACCAATAAAAAATATACATGTATTTTAAATGTACCCTCCTTCCCTCTGACTAACAAGAAGTTTGCCACAGAAAGTGTCTGGAAATAAATTATACATGAGGCATGGATTCTGAACTAGTTGCAAGTTTCGTTCCAGGATATTTTTACTTTTCTCTAAACATTCCCTCCAGGGGTGAGCTATCCTACCAAGAAGTTCAATGGAATTGGAAAGAGCCGTCCAGGAACCCACGTGGCCCCATCACAGTAAGCCAGGCCCGTTACGGGGTCCCCGAGGCCCTACTGGCTCTTGGCACTTATACCTTCCCTTTAACAGAGCTGAGCAGTATTACCCGAGGGATGGTCCTCACGGAGCTTCTTTCAAAGAGAACCCACAATTCCCCCTATGGGGCTGGTGAATATGTGGGCTCCGGTTAGACCGACTTGCCTTCGGGTCCCAGCTCCACTAACTTATGAGGTATGAGGCCCAGGAATATGCACTTAACCTCCCTCGGCCTTGACTTCCTCATCTGTGAAATGGGGCTACTGCATAGGGTTGTGAGGATTAAAAGAGTTAACACTTTTAAAGGCATATAGTAGCCACTCAAGAAATGCAGGCAGCTACGACCATTGTCACGCGTTAGAAATCCCCCAAGAAACAGAGAATTCCCATCCGGAAAACTCCTGAGTCACGGCTGGTCTCCCTAAGGTGTTCCCAACAGCCGCCTGTGAGTCTATGCGTCTCTCTTTTCACTGCATTTTCTCTCTCCATCAAAGTACGCCGTCCGCTCCAGGGCGGGCGAGAGGAACCGCATTAGCAGATAGAAGCGCTGGGAATCAAGGCGCTCCCTGTGGCAGGGGTTCCGTGATCCACTTCTCCAAGCATCTGAATGTCGGCAGGACAGATACTGAGCTCCAACAGGTTCTGGCAGATGAACCAGGAGGCCTTTACTAGCCTCCTCTTGGGGTCAAGGAAATTGGGACAGGGTTTGAAAGTGTCCCCTTGCACATCTGTAGAGTCGGCAAATGGCTAGCCTCCGGCACAGCATTGTCACGCCGGAAGGGACATCATCCCAAACCATGCAACTAGGTACAGGCTCAGTCTGACTCCACACCATCTCGGACCTGAGGTTCTCGCTGAGTCTAAGTGAGGTGACCGTTCCGGAGCCCCCGAAACACCCAACCCAAAGGTTTGATGACGGCCGCTTAAAAATAAGTTTTTACTCTCACTCCAGTCTCCAGCTTTCACTTATGTTCATTTCCTCTAACCCAGTGGTTCTCAACCTTCCTAATGCCGCGACCCTTTCATACAGTTCCTCATGTTGTGGTGACCCCCAATTTCATTGTTACAAACTGAACATCATTAAAGCATAGTGATTAATCCCAAAACAGTATGTAATTATGTATGTGTTTTCCGATGGTCTTAGGCGACCCTTGTGAAAGGGTCATTGGAGCCCCAGAGGGGTCGCGACCCACAGGTTGAGAACCGCTGCTCTAACCATCCCCTGAGCTTGGCGATGCCACAGGAGGGTCAGTCTCCTCCCCACGAGGACCCTGATTAGGCCCGAAAACAGCCTCTGCTTTCCGAGTGCTTCCTGCCCTCCAGCCCGCACGTGACAGTGACCGCAGAGCCCAGGACAAGCTCGCGGGAAGAGCAGCGCAAGAAGCGAGTGGCTTGGCTCTTGCCAGGAAAACATGAATCAGCAGCACGAGTCGACACAAGGATCCTGCAGCTGAGACGATGACCCGAAGAACGCGTTTTCTGATAACGGCAGAGCTGAGAATGGACCCACTGTGCAAATCCCTTCCCTTCTCTGGGGAGAGCTGAGGAGGTGGTTTAGCAACAGTCAACCGCTGAGCAGCATCACATTCTGGGGAGTTTGGGAGGCGAGTTCTGATGAATTTCTTGGAAGGTACGCTTCCCAGAGGGGGTGATGCTAATGAGGCCCCTCACCCCTTCCCAGCATCCCCCACATGCGCTCACAGCTGGGGATCTGAACCAGAAGCCCCCCGAGGGTGGAAGAGCCGGGAGGGAGGAGGCGCGGGCTTCCTGCCTCGTGACTCTGCTCAAACATCAAACGACACTGACCTCGGAGCCCGGGAGGGGGCGCGAGGGGGGCATGGCCCCAGCCAGGGATGGCCCCAGCCTGCTCCATGCCAAGTGTGAGCTCAGGGACGCTCTAAGGAGCTTTAGGCAGCAGCTAAGGGTCAGGATAGTAATAATAAAACTAACACCTACTACCAGTGGTTCTCAACCTTCTGGCCCTTTAAATCCAGTTCCTCATGTTGTGATCCAACCATAAAATTATTTTCGTTGCTACTTCATAACTGTCATGTTGCTACTGTGATGAATCGACATGTAAATATCTGATATGCAGGATGGTCTTAGGCGACCCCTATGAAAGGGGCCAGACAGTCAGAAACACCAACTTAAAATTACATTCAGAAAGAAATCACGCTCACATGCGTGAAAACGGCCTTGGGGACCCAGGGCACAGAGACAGAGAGGAGAAGAGCTCACAGAGCCAAGTGGCAAAAGGATGGGTGTGCTCACAGCAGGAGGACCGGGGCCCGGAGGATGACGCCACGAGGAAATACAGCTGCAGGCACGTGGCTTGTTGCTGCCTGGAGATGGTGAAGGGATGCTCGCCACACCAGCTCAGCTCCCGACGGGGCCGGAACGCCACAACCTGGGCATGTGTGACCGGGCACAGCTATAAGACCTAAAGTCTTACCCGGCGGGTGTGGCTTTGTGGTTGAGCGTTGACCTATGAACCAGGAGGTCACGGATCAATTCCCCGGTTGGGGCACATGCCCAGGTTGCAGGCTCGATCCCCAGTGTGGGGCGTGCAGGAGGCAGCCGATCAATGATTCTCTCTCATCATTGATGTTTCTCTCTCTCCCTCTCCCGTCCTCTCTCTGAAATCAATTTTTAAAAAAAATTTTTTAAAGACCTAAAGTGTTGACATTAGTGCTTCCTCAACCTTGAACTTTCCTCCCGGCATTTCCCACTACAAGGAACAGCCGTCGCGTTTGCCGGCACAGAAGCCACGGAGGCAGCAGCCTGGGAAGAAGGAGCCTGGGGAAATGAAAAGGGCAAAAAGGCAGAAAAGGGTACTTGCCGCACTGATTCCTGCAGTAAGATGCCTCCGTCTCGTGCTTATAAAAACGTATGCAAACTATATGCAAATTTGCAGATGATAATGCTAATTCTCCCCTAGCCTGCCTATTTCACTATCCTTGCCTTTGACTTTGGAAGGTCCAAGGGTATGGACAGCAGGACCTTGGCAAAGGCAGCCACAGGCCATGGCCTACTGTCTGGCAGGAGTCATGGCCGAGCCATACAGAAGGACGAGCAAGGCTCCGAGGTGATGGGCTCGCAATCAGCTGAGAATCCTGGCGGGTCCACTCAGCTTGGGGGGGGGGGGGGGGTGAAGAGCACGTGGAGTGTGAAAGGCACTTAGAATCAAAGAACCAGGGACCTTGGAGGCGACGGCTGGAGTGGGTCCCAGTGCCCAAGATGCCACCTGAGAAAACCATTTACAGACGCGTGCATTACCCCGAATCCAAATGTAGGGAACTGATTAACTTCTCGATGAAGTCCTCTCTCCCAATAGACATCAGTAGTGAAACACAGAAAAGGGTTCGAACGCTGGCAAACTCTTTCCCTTCGATGGGCGTTGGCCGGGCATCTGCTGTCCCGCCCACCCACACGAGGCTCAAAACCTCTTTTGCGTGGACAGGCAGCTTTCCTAGCGCCTGTAGCCCGTCTGCTCTGGACAGAGGTCAGGGGTGTCCTTTGGCTCAAGGCCAGAGACTCCGCTTATTTTACCTGCAAGTACCTGTTCTCTATACTTTGCTGCAAAATGCACACACACTTTCCTGCCCGGAGAGTGGCAGGCTGGTCGCTCTGGCCTCCCGGCTATGCCACAGAGTGGTGCTCACTGCCAGGCTTGAGCTGCACGCACACACGTGAATTTGCGTGCACACATGTGCCTCCTGCATGTGTGTAGGGCAGCTGTGACCCTCAGCCCCTCCATTCAGGGCAGCTCTCTGAATGCATGGCTCCCCCTTTAATAACACCTCCCCTCCCGCCCCTCCGACTCCCAGTGAGGCTGCCAATCAAACTGCCACGCTGAGTGGCAGGCTGAAACCTCAGAGCAAACCCATCATCCAGTTACAAAGGTCCCTGAGCCCAGCACCAGACAGGAACAAAGGCTGTGCGCCTGCTGTTATTATGAAAAGATAAAGCAGCTCTGAGTCCAACCACAGTCACTTCAATTATCCAGCGCTATCCTGCCACTTGGGTTTGACGGGCACCCTTTTAGTTCGCTCCTCTTGTCTCTGGAGGCGTCCAAAGAACCCATCGCTGGCTCCCCCCCCCCAATCCCCCCGGGGAGACAGGACAGGAGCAGACACCGGCCCCTCCGCTGTGACCGCACCTGACCGTGGCCCTTGCACTGACCTTCCGCAGAAGGAAGCAGATGCGCTCGATGTTCCTCAGCCGTTCCCTCTGTCAGGACGCACAAGAGAGAAAGGAGAGGCGGGTTAGAGCGAGGGAAGCCCCCACAGTGACCTCGGGAGAGGAGGCAGCCCCCGCCCGAGGCCCCGCCTGGCCAGAGGGCGTGCAGCCCCAACCGGTGGCTTTTCCTAACGAGTTTTCCCATCTACCTGGTCACCTGCTCTTAGAAGAACTCCACCAGCAAACAGGGTGGGCTCAGCCTCCCTCTCTCCAGCAGAGGCGTCTGTACTTTTTCTACACAAAGTCTAGCTCACCTCCATGCACCTGTAAGACGGTCAGACTGCTGACCGGCACCACGTGCTCACTGACTGTCCCAAAGCCCGCAGCCCACCCCCCGCCCCCCCCCCCGCCCCCGGCCGGGAGGACTTCCCGCGAGGGTGTCAGAGAGCATATGTGCCTGATTAGTGTCTGAGGAAGGGACATTCTCTGCCCGTTGGCTTTGTCTGTCTAGAGTGACTGTACTTAAAGGAAGTAATCTCCCCCCTAAATGAGACCCCAGCAGCGCGGCATCCCACAGCTTCTGAGAGAAACGCATCACCCCACTCAGCAATCACTTGTAACCCAGGCCCTTCTGTGCTGTTGTCACCGACCAGGAGGTAGCTTTCTCAGGCCACCTGGTCCTGAAATGCCTCTGCAGGGGCCCACAGGCCTGAAGACGAGTTAACGAGGCATCAGAGCGTTTAACAGGAGTCCTGCCAGGGAGTAACATCACTGGAACTGGGAAAACGTGGGTTTTATGGATTGTTTTAAAATCTCAGACAAGCCCGGCGTGGCTCAGTGGTTGAGCGTTGACCTATGAACCAGGAGGTCATGGTTCGATTCCTGGTCAGGGCACATGCCCGGGTTGCCGGCTCGATCCCCAGTGTGGGGCCTGCAGGAGGCAGCCGATCGATGATTCTCTCTCATCATTGATGTTTCTCTCTCTCTCTCCCTCTCCCTTCCTCTCTGAAACCAATAAAAAAGCATTTTAAAAAAAGAGAATGCTGCCAAAAGCCTTCCAGGTTTAGATGGCATCACACTAGCGAATCCTGATGATCTTGCCGACTGAAAAGATCAACAGAGCTATTCAAACAAAAACTCAGCGCTGGGAACCAGGGCCTGAAAGGAGCTTCAACTAACATAGGCCCAGTGAGTGTAGATGGAGCCACACACTTGAATGAGGTGTGTGTGTGTGTGTGTGTGTGTGTGTGTGTGTGTGAGAGAGAGAGAGAGAGAGAGAGAGAGAGAGAGCGATGCTCCATCTCTTGAGTCCAGCAGGGCTGGTCTGGAATGAGTTCGGAAAAGGCTCTGTCCACACACATGTTGGCCCCTGGCTCCAGGACATGGGCTGGCATGACCAGAGAAGCAGGCAGCCAACACCCACCCACTCAACAGAAGTGAGGCCCTTCTCCAGGCCCCGCTCTCATGCCTCTCCCTGCATCCGTCCCAGGGCAGGGCAGCAGGCACGGCCCATGAGCAAGATGAGCGGTGAGACTCTGGGCACAGCACGTGCTGCCCCCGGGCCAGACAACCAGACGTCAGGGGAGTCCCCAGGGGCAGGCGACCTCGAGCCCACAGAGCTGGTCCAGATGAATGCTTCCTGGTGACGGCTACGGGGCTAGGAGCCTGGACATCAACCCACCGTATCAGGGCGGGGCGACCACTAACGATGCTCCTATACCTGCCCAACAGGGGACACCACGGAGCTCCCTCCCGTTCAGCCAGGCCTTGAGGACTCAACGGACACAGCACAGCAGGCATTTCCCACCTGGGCCCCTGCGGCTGCCATACTTGACTTGCAAGAGAAATTAAGACCTCAGCAGGCCCGGAAGAACAAGAAGTCCCCTCAACAGCCTTGAGCCAGGCATGGAGGTCCAGCCAGAGCCGGAAATGTTCTCTACTCGTCCTACGCATCGGAACCTCGCCCTCCTTCCCAGGCCCTGGGTGGCCGGTGGGGGCACTCCCTGCCCCGCCACCAGCACCCTCCACTTACCGCATGCACGGGGTTGCACTGGTCTATGGGGCTCTTAAAATCTGTCCTCAGCTCATCGAAGGCAATGATCTGAAACGAAACACACAGAATCGAGACATTAGTGCCAAGGTGGGTCACTACGATGCGTCCAAAGCTTCCTGGAGATTTGCTTCCAGTAACAGAGGAGGCAGGAGGTGGGTGTCAATGACAGGAGACCTGGTGGAAGTCGGTCGCTGTGGAAGCTGCGACCCCAAAACAGGAGACGGCAGGGATCTCGTTAAAGGGCTCACGGTTGCAACTAGTGAATAAACAAGCCCTGGAAATCTCATCCCCAGTGCAGTGGTTCTAGACAACAAAGCTATTACAGTAACAATGAAGAGAGTCGATCTTAATGGCTGCCAGTGCTAGAACGAATGATAATCATGGGATGGCACAGAGGTGTGAGCGAATGCGACAGTGGCAACCACATTGCAATAAACCCGTGTCACCTTAAATTTACAGTATGCTGCATGTCAGATATGTCTCCATTTTCTAAATCCCCAAAATAAAGTTTTTTTTAAAGCTTTCTGTGTTGTACAAAAGTGATGGTGAGAGGGGGTTGGGGATTGGATACAGGCGCGCAAGGAATGCATGTTCAGCTTCTCTCGTCATTGCAAGAAGCTGTTGATTTCTTTTTTTTTTTTAATATTTCATTGATTTTTTTACAAAGAGGAAGGGAGAGGGATAGAGAGTTAGAAACATCGATGATAGAGAAACATCGATCAACTGCCTCCTGCACACGCCCTACTGGGGATATGCCCGCAACCAAGTACATGCCCTTGACCAGAATCGAACCTGGGACCCTGGAGTCCACTGAGCCAAACTGGTTAGGGCATATTGATTTCTTATTGCTGCTTATTTTGGCAGAGAAGCTACCTGGAAGTAAAATGGACGGAAGCCAGGCAAAGGGGAAGGAAGACACAAGAAGGCAGAGGTGATGGTAAGAGAAACAACCCAATCTCCAGCTGTCCGCAGGCTGGATCCCCAACTCTGGACAGTCAAGGCTTCGCGGCGTGGCCCGTTGGGTCAAGTTCACTCTGGACCGAGACCCGAGACCCCCAGAGAGCGATGGTTCCCCCACTTGTCTGGAGGGGGGGAATGCTGGAGGGGACCTTCTCCAGCTACAGAAGGAGGCACAGCCACAGGAAGAACTAACTAGAGGTGAAGCTCCCCAGCCCGAGCCACCTCGTCCCTGGAAGGGTGACTCGGTGACAGAACAGGTGGTATTTGGCCAGTGGGCTGCGCATAAATTCGTGACTGCACTCCCCAGAGGGGCCAAAGCAATGAAGCCAGCACACCCCA